CATCCCTGGCTTCGTGAAATAACTTCCCCAGCTTGCGAAGTCCCAGCAATAGGTAGGCTCTGGCTAGACGTCCGCCTTCGTTTCCCTCGGCATTTTGACAGTCTTCGACCCTTTTGAGAAACCTTCTTTCCAGTTCCACTATGCCTCGCTCCAGGTATCCCAGTCTCTTGTTGGCATTGATGGCCATGTCCTTCCATTCCTCAATTAACTTTTGATTGGCTTCTTGTATCTCACGGTGCTCACTTTCGCACTCCTGGATTCTTTTGCGTAGCTGATTGTATTCGACCTGTGCCTCGGCCTTTTCATCTATGATCATGTGACCCCGAACAAACCCAAGTTGACTCAGACCATTGTGATTATCCTCCAACCAACTGGTATAGTAGGGAGTACAACCGGCGTGGTATCTATCTGTCTCGATGGTATCTTTCCCCATGACGATCTTGTAGTGACACATATGCTGAGCTTGGCACTTGTAAGGGCTATCATCATCCTGGAAATTAGCTCGGAAGTAACTCATCTTGTCGACCCTGGGTACAACCTGCTTCCTACCAGCTTGCCTCATAACTCGAAGAGGGACGTAAGGGTAAGTTCCTCTCAGACCGATCAATATCAGAAAAGGTGCGTCTCGGGATCGGGCGATGAATTCTTCGGTTGGAAACCATTCGAACACATCCATTGTACTTGTTCCTCGGTCAGACTATCGAACAGCTCGAACCATCCTTTGGCTGAGCAAACATATCAGGGATATAATTCATTCTCTTTGGGTGATGGAAAGCGATATGATCGTCCCAATCCCTTCGTTGAATGCCTTGTCGGTATTCACCCTTTTGTAGATGCTCNAATTGATTTAAAAATCTTTGAAAAATTAAGGAAAAATAATGAAACCTTGGGATATGCTTATATATGCATATACAGACCGTTTTGAAGGTATTTTGCATATTTAAAAATACAGGGGAAAATTGGTATCAACAGGTAGTATTTTCTTTAGGTTAATGTTGTTCTCGGATGTCACCGTAAGGCTATAAGGTGCAATCTATTCTAAGTTTAATTATGGAAGCTTAGGAAGTTAAACTTGTGTTGCATTTAGAAAGACACATGTATTTATTGTACATTACCAAGCCCATGTGTGGCCAAGTACGAAATAACATAATATGAGATGCTACCGAGCCCATGTGTGGCCGGGTACGAAGCGACGTGATATCAGATATTACCGATCCCATGTGTCATCTGCTACGAAATGGTATAACATATGAAATTACCGAGCCCATATGTGATCGGGTACATAATAATATAACATAAGAATTATCGATTCCATGTGTGGCCGGGTATGAGATAACAGGTTATATAGTGTTACTGAGACCTTCTGAGACCGAGTACGATAATATGCCCCAAAGACTGATTGAAAAACATTAATTAATTTAGAGCATATAACACCATAAGATATTGACTTATATGAGACCTACTTCTGTTTATGATTCATGCTCGCTGTAAGAAAAAGTATGCCCCCTGTGGTGTTTCTTCGGCGGTCCGGTTGATATTGGGTGTTCATAATTTTTACGTTATGTCTATGGTTTATATATTTTGTTATGGGCTTTACATACTTAGCACATCTTCTATAATGATGCTTTTCCTTTTGGGCGATGTGTTCATGCCCACAGGTGCTGATAGATCCGGTGAAGTTCCTCCCTAGTAGAGTGCATGTTTCAATGATCGGTTGTTGCACTCTACTCCTTCAGAGTAGTTGTACAGATGTTAATAGGTACTTTTACTTCCAGTTTTTGGGTATGGTGGGGCGCTGTCCCGACCAAGTCATATAATATTGCACTCTTACAGGCTTGTAGACTAAAGTCCGGTGTGTATGTACATATGGGTTATGGCCCTTTCTACAGCTGTTATAGGTTCTCCTATGTATAAATTAAAATGTTTAAAGTTTCTACTGTGACCAGTTATGTGGCTCACCTTAAGGTATTAACAATCATACTGGGAGGCCCGTTAGCCCAAATTTCATGATAAAAGAGGTAAGTATGGACGTCGGTTCGCACGAGCCTTTGACATTGTGTGCCGGTCGCACCTCTTTAGGTTGGGGTGTGATAGAAGAAGGATATGAAGAAGGAGGACGAGGAGGCCTAAATTTCTTTGTACTTTAGATACTAGTTAACCTTTTTTTTAAAAGTGAGTAGAAATCAAATGGGGGCGACAAAATAGTGTATATGGTGGAATTTTTATTAAACTTGAAAACAAAGTGTAAAGATAGTTTAACATTGCTCTTGAAATATTTTGCGGTTTGCATCCGGCAATATACTGAATTTGGGAGTGCAAATCTATACTATATTAAAAGTACGACGCCCTTTAGCAAAATATCGTGCATTTTTTTATCTTTTAAAAATAGGTCTCATATTGAACAAAATGTAATTCAATTATTCTTCCAATATATAAAATTTTATAATTTACTGAAAATTATTTATTAAATCTTTCCTTATCTCAAATACGTAGGAATTCTAATGTTAGGATTTTATGTCAAATAAAACTTCCTAATAGTAAGCCATAGAGATCAAACACATGACTTATTTTAATAATTTATATGAGATGAAATATATTGGTAAATTGTAGGATACGTGATTATTTACAGGATCTCAGATTATTATCCAATACTAGCATTTTAAAGATAAAATACCCCTAATTTATTATCCAAATAATTCAAGTAATGAATCGATTGATCAATATGATAATTAGTCGTGACACATGTATTCAAGTAATTATTTGTTTAATATTATCCATTTAAAAGTTACTTCATTCACCAGCTTATGTTATTTATCCTTGATTGTGAGTGCAATTTTATTTTTAATGTTCTTCTTCAAAGGTATTTTTTATATATAACTTGAGAAATTAACTAATTAGCAAAAGAATGCAATTCAGGTTTTTTAATAACTTAGAGAAATTAACTAATTCACTTACATATTTATTTTATAACATAAACATAATATAATACTTATGGGATCTGATGCAATTGCAGAATTGAGCTTTGAGAAGAAGCTGAGCTGCCAGAGTTAGTTAGTACTGGTAGAAGTTAGTTACAGTTTGTTATAAGAATTTAGTAGAAGTGAGTGGTAGTTAGCATTATAGATTCCTTCATTCATCTGAAGTATAAGTATCACAACAATTGTATTATACATATTCATTCAGATATAATAACATCTCTCTTCTCTCTATACTCTCTCCCTTGAGTTAGCTAAATATATCGGATCAACCCCTTGATTTAGCCTCATCTTCCTCGAGCTGCAACTCCTGGATTAGTTCTTTTCATCTTAATTCTTCCTTGTTGCATCAATTGGTATCAGAGCTGCTTGATTCTTGGCATCGACATGGATCGGGATAAAAATCAAGACAAACCTATAGACGGAATGGATGGTAAAATTTCAGAAATTCAAGAACAGTTGCAGAAATTAAAGGAGGTTATGACTAGCTTGACTAATCGAAATACACAAACTGATAAGGAGTTGTTTGAGATTAAGGAGGCCATTGGGTTCATTAAACAGAAGGTCAAGGAAACATAGCAATTAGGAATTGAATCACCATTTGACGGTGACTGTTCCACGGGCCAGAGTCGTCTGAATCGACCTCGAGACTTTCAAGCAGGCTCTACTCTAACTGGTAATTTCTTTAACCGATTTTCCAGATTAGATTTTCCTCGATTTTCTGGGTATAATTTGAGGTCTTGGTTGTATAAGGTGGATCAGGTTTTTTCTATGGAAGACATCTCTTTGGATGAGAGAGTGAATGTAGCTTCAATTCATTTTGATGGCGAAGCCATTGCTTGGCATAGATCTTATATGAGGTCACGGGATACAAGTGTTTCCCTACTTGGACTAAATACGTGTTAGCTTTGAATGAAAGATTTGGAGAAGATTTTGAAAACCCTATGGAGGCAATTAATAATTTAAGGAAAATTGGAGGTGTAAAGGAGTATCAAGCTAAGTTTGATAGACTTTTCACTGAGGTCAATATATCAAATCAGAATGCTATTAGTTATTTCTTGGGGGGTTTGAAACCAGAGTTGAATAAATCTGTTAAGATTCAGTCGCCAAGGATCTTGATGCAAGCCTACAGGATTGCTAGATTACTGGAGGGTGTTTTCGAAGCACAAGCTCAATCTTGGGGAGTTAAGCCTTCTTTCAAACACAGAACTCTAATTACCTACCCCTTCCTACTCTAAACATCATAATCACCAAAAACCTCCCATATAAAATCCTACATTTAAGAAACCTTTTGAACTAAGTTATGGTAAACCTAACAGATTGCCTGGTAGAAGGCAAATAGCTGCAGAAATGGATGAAAAAGGGCCAAAGGGTTGTGTTTCTTTTGTGATGAAAAATATGAACCAGGGCATATTTGCAAGGCAAGAAAACAGATATTCATGGTAGATGTGAATGATCAATGTGAAGTTACTGGTGAAGATGAATTGGAGCAAGGTTTAGAGATCAATATAGAATTGGATGAACTAATGACAATCTCTTTGCAGGCATTTACTGGAGTAACAGGTTATCAGACCATAAGGGTCACTTTTTATCATAAAAAGAGACCTTTACAAGTGTTGATTGATATAGGAAGCACCCATAATTTTATTGATGAAGAGCTGGCCGGGAAATTAGGGTGCAAGCCTAGTCCCATAGCTAAGCAATCCATAAGTGTAGCTGATGGAAAACGAGTGCAAACTGCATCAGTATGCAGGAACTTGCAATGGCTGCTACAAAGCACTACATTCTCTTCAGACTTTTTACTCCTGCCCTTGGGTAATGTTGATATAGTCTTGGGAGTAAAATGGCTGAGTACTCTTGGCAGAATCTTATTTGATTTCAAAAATAGAGCAATTGAATTTGTCTATCAAGGAAACAAACATGTGCTGAGAGGGGCTAGTAGCAAGTTGAAATCAACTAAAACCATCACTTTGAATAAAAAGCCTGTGGAAGATGCTTAGTTTTTAATGATTTCCTTAATCACAAATGCGGCAGAGGGTATTCATTATAATAGCATACAAGCTTCTCAAGGTAATGAGATATCTCCTGTTTTGTCAACCTTATTGGAGAAATATGCTAGCATTTTTTAAATTCCTACTGTATTGCCTCCCCATAGAGGTTCCTTCGATCACAGAATTCCTCTCATAGATAAAGCAATACCTGTTAGTAAGTGGCCTTATAGATATCCTAGAATAAAGAAGGATGTCATCGAGAAGTTTGTGCAGGAAATATTGGATCAGGGAGTGATACAACATAGTACCGGTCCTTATGCTTCTCATGTTGTTTTAGTGGGAAAAAAAGATGGTAGCTGGAGGCTTTGTGTTGATTACAGAGATCTAAATCAGCTGACTGTTAAGGATAAATTCCCTATACCAATTATTGAAGATTTATTAGATGAATTGGGGGGTGCTGTGGTTTTTTCTAAAATTGATCTTAGAGCTGGTTATCACCAATTAAGGATGGCTGTTGATGATGTTCATAAGACTGCTTTCAAAACTTATGAAGGATACTATGAATTCTTAGTTATGTCATTTGGCTTTACTAATGCTCCATCATCCTTCCAAAGTCTTATGAATCTGTCTTTAAAGCCCTTCTAAGGAAGTCAGTCTTGGTATTCTTCGATAACATATTAATTTATAGTAAAAATATATTTGATTATATTATGCATCTAAAGGCTGTGTTTGAGTTAGTGGTGCGACATCAGTTGTATGCTAAGCCATCCAAATGTGCTTTTGGGGTACATGAAGTGGAATACTTAAGGCATTTTATTAGTGCAAAAGAAGTGGCTACAGACCCTATAAAGATTTCAGCTGTTAAACAATGGCCTGTCCCCACTACTGTGAAACAGCTAAAAGGATTTTTAAGATTAGCAGGTTATTCCAAGAGATTCATCCAAGTTTTTGGTGCAATTTGTAAACCTCTAAACCAACTTCTCAGAAAAGACAACTTCAATTGGACAGATGAAGCTATAACAGCCTTTGAAAAACTGAAGAATGCCCTGGCGACTGCACCTGTTCTAGCCATGCTAGATTATACAAAGCCTTTCATTATTGAGACTGATGCAAGTGGAATAGGCATTGGTGTTGTCTTGATGCAGCAGGGGCATCCAATTGCCTATATTAGTAAGTCATTGGCTCCTAAACATCAATCTATGTGTGTTTATGATGGGAGCTATTAGCTCTCATCTTTGCTGTCACGAAGTGGTCACACTATCTTCTAGGAAGGCACTTTATTGTCAAAACTTACCAGAAGGCCTTGAAATACCTGCTGGAGCAAAACATACATACAGAGTTCCAAGTAGCTGGAATCTCTAAGCTCATGGCTTTTGACTTTTCTATTGAGTATAAGAAGGGAAATGAGAATAAGGCCGATGATGCTTTATCTAGAAATGAGGTAGCTAAACTTCTAGCTATTTCATTGTTGTCCCCTAATGATCCCTTATATGCTCAAATTAAAGAAACTTGGTCTTCAGATGCTGCATTACAGGAGCTAATTACAAAATTAGAAGTTCAACCTTTCAGATCTTATACATGGATTAATTTTTAGTTGAGGTGGAAAGGTAGATTGGTTGTAGGTGCAGACCATCAACTCAGGCAATCTATTATTAGGTTGTGGCACTCTACTCCCCAGGGAGGTCATTCAGGCATGGATGCAACAATCAAGAGGTTGAAGTCTCTATTTTCTGGAAAACTCTTTTCCAAGATACTAGAGAATTCATTAACAAATGTGACATTTGTCAAAGGCATAAGTATGATGTATCGGCTTATCCTGGACTGCTGCAACCTCTTCCAATCCCTGAAGGTGTTTGGGCTGATATTTCCCTTGATTTTATAGAAGGTCTTCCTAAGTCTAATGGCAAAGAGGTGATTCTTGTTGTCGTAGACAGGTTGAGCAAGTATGGCCATTTTATGAGTTTGCAGCATCTTTATACTGCTTAGTCAGTGGCCCAATGTTTCCTAGATAATGTTTACAAGCTTCGTGGCATGCCTGTTACAATGACAAGTGATAGGGACCCTGGCTTCCTCAGTTCATTTTGGCAAGAACTTTTTGCTCTATAGGGTGTCCAATTACAAAGATCCACTGCTTATCACCCTCACACTGGCAGTCAAACAGAGGTGTTGAATAGAACCTTGGAGACTTATCTTAGGTGTTTTTGCTCTGACATCTCTCGCGATTGGTCAGCTCATTTACCACTAGCTGAATGGTGGTATAACATTATATATCATAATGCAATCAAATGCACTCCCTATGAAGTTTTCTATGGTGATAAACCTCCAATACATCTTTCCTATTTGGTTGGAGAAGTTGTTACTGATATGGTTGATCTATCATTAGCTGCTAGAGAAGTTGTGATACAGCTGCTGAAATTCCATCTAGCCAGAGCTCAGCAGAGGATAAAGGACATGGCTAACAAGCATAGGTCTGATAAGAGCTTTATGGTAGGAGATTGGGTTTATCTTAACTTATAATCCTATAGAAAAATCTCAGTTGCTTCCAAGCCATTCAATAAGCTGGTAGCAAAGTATTTTGGTCATTATCCTATTACTGCCAAGGTTGGAGTTGTTGCTTATCGGTTACTATTACTTGTAGATGTTTTGATTCACCCAACATTCCATCTGTCTCAACTTAAGAAGTTCCATGAAGTTCCTACTACCATGTCTCATCCACCTGTGATACATTTATCCAGTCCTTACTGTCCTGAGCCTGAAGGCATCTTGAGCAGGAGGTTGGTCAACAAAGGAAACAAGGTTGTATGTCAAGTCTTGGTTAAATGGTCAGGGGTTGATGTTGCTCAAGCTACTTGGGAGTACCTCACTGACTTACAACATAGATTTCCTTCCTTTGCCCTTGAGGGCAAGGGTGTTCTTGATTAGGGGGTATTGATGCAATTGCAGAATTGAGCTTTGAGAAGAAGCTGAGCTGGCAGAGTTAGTTAGTACTGGTAGAAGTTAGTTACTGTTTGTTATAAGAATTTAGCGGAAGTGAGTGATAGTTAGCAGTATAGATTCCTTCATTCATCTGAAGTATAAGTATCACGACAATTGTATTGTACATATTCATTCAGATATAATAACATCTCTCTTCTCTCTATACTCTCTCCCTCGAGTTAGCTAAATATATCAGATCAGTCCCTTGATTTAGCCTCATCTTCCTTGAGCTGCAACTCCTGGATTAGTTCTTTTCGTCTTAATTCTTCCTTGTTGCATCACGATCTTTTGCAAAAAAATTACTTGTACTTGTTAAAACGAGACACACGCACATCACACATAATCTAAGACTAGTTCTTTTAAGAGAAATTTTCATAAAGCACTATCTTTTAGTAGTAATTAGCCATCTATAGATACCATTTGCTATATTATGAAATATAGATACCTTTTCTGTGGTTATAAGATGTATTTAAGCTATTGTATTCATGAATACAGTAGCAAAAATAGGTGTGAATCAGGGAAGTCCAGCTAATCAATTGTTGTATTCGAGTGTATTCGACTGTATTCATGGAGTGAAACATGGGATTACAGCTGGACAAATTATTATATTCGACTGTATTCACGGCGTGAAATAGGGGATTACAGTGTTTTTAAACGGAAAGTGAATCCACTAGCATAGTAGACTCCTAATATAACTCAATAAACTCAATTATAACACACAAATTTTGTATTTTTCAGTTATAAAAAAGATTCTCAACCGCAAAATACAATGAAATAGATAGAATACAGAGGGATACATTGAAATACAATGAGAAAAAAAAGACATTGAATACAATGAAATACATGGAATACAACGAGATACATTGAATTACAATAAAAAAAAGATAGTGAATACAATGAAATACATAGAAATACAGCGAGATACATTGAAATGATCTCAAAAAAAGGTAAAAAAGAATCGCTCAACCCCAAACTTCAGACTCCGACGACCCATTGGATTCCGACGATGATTCCATAAGCAATTTGAATGTATCTCGTTGTATTTGAAGATTCTGTACACTCTGTTTGACTTTGATAAGGACATCACTTGATTACTTGCTACCGTGATTTTTGTGGTAAGCAAATAATGAAATCTATGATTAAGAATTTTGGCGGCTGTGATCATCCAATTAAAACCAAACAATCTTTCAATCGGGTGAACTCTAACGTAGCTGAAACTACCACCACACACGAAGGTCCCAGAAGAATCCAAAACATAGAAAAAGTTGAAACCTATTATTCTTGTCTTGATTCAAGAATCCAACCAAAACCAAAGATGTAACCCACCAAAATTCTCAAAGGCCAATCACACCAAAGGCTTCAAATTTCTAAAACCACCAAATTGCAATAAAATCTTAGGGAACTTGCGGTGAATAGCAGGATAAGCCCCATATGCTGTGACTATCAAAATCAAAGCTTAAAGAAGAGAGATTTTAGGATCATAAACTTTAGACAAAGAGGTTTGTGAACTGGGTTTCTCTCAACTGGATGCGGGAGCCGGAGCAATTTCTGAAGTGGGCTTTGCACAAATCCGGTGGAAGGAGGAGGAGATCGGAAATTTTAATGGGAGGGGGAAGAGAATGGGATGTAACAAAGTAGAGAGAGAAAGAAAATAGTGTAACTGATTAGCGTATTTAGTGGCTTAGGGCTAGGAGATAACCAAAATTAAATATTTTGGTATAAACCTTAAAAGGTATCTATAGAATATAATTTTTTTAAATGGTATTTATTTAAAATAAATATGGTGTTAACCTTTGCTATAGGTTAATAACCGAAGTATTTTATGGTTAAAAGATATATAGGCCGTACAAGGGTATTCCTTTTTGAAGGAAAGTTTTGGCTTGTGGTTCCACATCGTGTTGACGGTGAGCAAGTTGTTCAAGTCATTAGACAACATCAGTTGGTGTAAACGTGTGCACTCATTTATCAACTTGGATTTATTAAAAGAAAGTAATTTGACTTGCAAGAAGATAAATTTTGTTAAAAGTCTGTGACTATTGAGTTACAATAACGTCTAACATGCATTTGATATTTATATCAAATTAAATAATTTAATTATTGTTTACCTCGAAAATACGAGTAACAGTTAAATTTGATTTATGATTTTATGATTTAATCCAATACCAATTAGCAATCAACAAATATAAAGTAGAAATGAAAGATAGAAGTGAATCAAACCAATGTTACTTAGCAGCAGTGACCTCGACACGGTGACCTCGAGGTGGCTTAGGGCAGTAAGAACAATTAAGTAGGAAAATTAAAGTAAGAACAGTTAAGCTAAAGGACAATTCCGATGAACAGTAGGCAAAAAGTAGAGAGTATATTCTTTGCTCAGTAAAAAGGATGGATCTTGCAAATGATTGGGGTCCCCTTTATATAATGGAGGAAACCTAAAAAAGGAATATTTTCATTTACAGTAGGGAATATTCTTGGTACAACAGTCTAACCGCCTAGTACAGAATTGTACAATCCTATTCCGTGATTTGCGCCATGACTTTGAGGACCTGGCAGGAATCTAGCTCGCTCTAGTATGAATCCACAATGGTACTATTTCGGAGTCGGGCATACTCGAACCTGGTGTTCCTCGCACTCCTATCTTCAGGCATTGTGCTTTGTTCTCGAGCTCGACTCTGGTCAACTGGTCTCGAATCTCGACCTCACTTGAACTCGGGTCCGTGACGGACCCTCGAGCCTATAAATCGGAGGCATTCGATTTTAACTGTATATAGATAGTCCCCGCGTTTTACAGAATAAGATGGTAAGAAACAATTTGATCCTCGATTTCCGGAGTCTTTAATGATGACACAGGAACCCGAAGTGACTGAGACGCCCCGTCGGTCCACTTCCCCAAAATATTGAATGCACGCCAGTATTGGTCGGCCACTAGCGCCACTGAACCGTCGTTGCCCTTCTATAAATATGAGGCTATTCCTTTGAGTAAAGAACTTTGCTATTCCTTTATATCTTTCTCTTCCTCCTCTCCTTCTCTCAATCGCCTGTTTCCACCGCCTCTTCAAGCGCCGGAAAATGCCAAGTTCTTGTAAAAAACACCACATTTTGATATAATCTGTACTCTTTAGCTTACAATCATGGCTAAAATGTCCAAAACGGTCTCCAAACAGGATAAGGCACCGTCTTCTTCTACATCCGGCCGGCTAAACCAGTGGTGCCGCTAACTCTTGAGGAGATCACCCCCGGCCCTTGTGTGATCAAGAAGGACTTTAGCATTGAAAATCTCCCCGACGTCCCAGGGTGATGCGAGCATGCCTCTCGATATCTTAGTTTGATATCGAAGAAGCATCTCGAAGATGTGAGGAAGGACTGCGGCTGGGGAGATGAGGTCGTGGTTCAGATCCCGACCCCCGGGGAAAGCATTACTACCCACGTGGAGGGGTTTTTAAGTGTTTACACTTACCCCTTCACACTGGGTCCCCTTGACCCGCTGGTGATTGACTTCTGCAAAACATACGAAGACACCCTCGGCCAGATTCACCCTTCTTTTTGGCGGATCGTGATCATGTTGCACTTCTTTTCCAAAAAGGCCGAAGGGTTAGAATTCACCCTCAGCCACCTGATTCGATTGTTTCGGCCCCAGCTATTTCGAGGGCTTATCAAATTGCAACGTCGAACAACGAAGGCTATCTTTGCCAGTATTGATGAGACCAAAGATCGAGGTTGGATGAGCCGGTTCGTCAGAGTAAGAACTTCGGATGTTATCCTAGGAGGCTAAATGTCGTTCCCAGAGAGGTGGAACTTTAATCGTAAGTGGAGTTGTTTTTCCCGGTATCTACTCATGTTCTACTTTCACATTTCATAATACCTTTACCCTTGTTTTGGCAGCCACTGCCCGGGCGCCCCTCGCAGTGCCGGACCTCGAGGATTGGGTCCAAAAGTTAGCAACCATTTCTTCCTACGATGAGCGCAAGTGGCGTGAATTATCGAAGGGCCGGTGGGAGGCCAAGAACCATGGTAAGTGCCTTTCCCAAGTTTCAAATATTTTTCATGTACTGGCGGCGTCAATTTACTCAAGTTTACTTATGCAGGCCTTGGAGATGCATCTGAGATGACGCTGGCTCCGTCCGGAGAAAAGACCAAGCCTTCGATTCCGAAATCGGAGAAGGACAATAAAAGAAAGAGGGTTTCGAAGCCCGAAGACCCTCAAGATAAGAAAACCACTGCTCGGAGGCAGCGGAAGAGGTTTGCTCAAGCGGGCGCATATTCGGCCCATTGTTCCCCGGATAACGAAGAAAATGATGATGAAGAGTCGGCGCTGGTGCCTCGAGCCAGAAAACCCATCGAGGCCGCCAAGCCCTCCGTCCCAGAGACCTCATCTTGTGGTGAAGGAACTCCAAAAAAATATGCAGGCAAGGCCCCCGTGTTCCTGGAGGTTGAGATCGTTCCTCTGCCTTCATCAAATATGCCGGAAGGGGCAAATGCGAAGACCCCGAAGCTAATGAGAACGCCCCGAGTGACGAGCACGGGTCCATGGCAACAGGTCATTCTCTTTCTTTGCCAACATATTCCGAGGGGGCAATAGAAGAAACTAATACCCTGTGCCCGACCCGAATAAGGTCCTTGAAGAAGATCCCTTTCAGAGTTTCTTTGCTGGGATCGATAATACCGCCGACTTCAATGATGCATCCGCTCTCTTCGAAGAGGCTCGACATCTCCTCTCTCGGGTAAAACACTTACTTTTTATACTTGTCTTTTTCTCTTTCTTTCTTTTCCTTAGACTGATACACTTTTATTTCATGTATAGGCCAGTGTAAAGTTCAGAGCTGAGCTGAGCCAATGTGAGGCCAAGCTAAAGAAAGTTTCGGGCGAGGAAAAGCCCCTGAGGCTCCTCTATAGCAGAAAGGAGAAGGAGCTTAAGGATCTTCCGGACGAGTTGGCCAAAGCCCAAAAAA